CTCCCCAGACACCTTCTTGTAGAGCTGTAAATCTGATCAACACATACTGCTCACAAACCTGCGAAACCTTCCACTGACTCCATGCCAAATGAGAACAGTATGATACATGCTATTTTACCTACCAAAGCACACTGGTCTCCACTTGGATTGCAAGTGCCCCCGGCATCTGGTTCCATACAGCATCCATCACAGGAAGAAGAGACCCCACCTGGAGTGCTGTGTTCAGATGTGGGGCCACCAACATAAAAAAGACCTGGACCTGTTGGAGAGAGTCCAGAGGAGAGCCACAAAATTGGTCAGAGGGCTGGAGCACCTCCCCTGTGAGGACAGGCTGAGAGAGTTGGGGGTGTTCAGCCTGGAGAAGAGAAGGCTCCGAGGAGACCTAATAGCAGCCTTCCAGTGCTGAACGGGGGCTACAGGAGAGATGGGGAGGCACTCTGTATCAGGGAGTGTAGTGAGAGGACAAGGGGTAACAGTTTTAAGCTGAAAGAGGGGAGATTTAGATTAGAGAAAGAGGATAAATTTTTTTCCTGTGAGGGGGGTGAGGCAGTGGCCCAGGGTGCCCAGAGGAGCTGTGGATGCCCCATCCCTGGAGGGGTTCAAGGCCAGGCTGGATGAGGCTTTGAGCAACCTGGGCTGGTGGGAGGTGTCCCTGCCCATGGCAGGGGGTGGCACTGGATGGGCTTTAAGGTCCTTTCCAACCCAAACCATTCTGTGATTCTACGATAAGATGTAAATAGCTTAAATTTGGAAGAAAGGTTACTACCTCTTTCGAACTGAGACACATGAAGACTCAGCATGAGGACTATTAAAATAGGGTTCATTACGTTCCCCTAGTGCCACAGACTAGCTTGGCGTTCAGCAGTAGTAGCTGCTACACACAGGGAAGTGACTGGACAAGATGGTCATCAGTGCAGTCACCAATTTTCACCTATGCTATATCACAGAGCCTCATTCTTGCAGAAGTGACCACACACCACCTTTTTGTGAAAGACAGACTGGGCATGGTGATGAGTAAGAGCTGCCTACCCTCTCCTCTATGAACGTCTCACCAGTATCCTCCTGTGCTACCCCCACACTGCTCTGGGTCAGACAAACTCTCCCTTCTCAACACTGTCAGGTCCCTTCGGAACCTTACCAACACTGCCCCACGCTGTGTACCGCACAGCTCAGGATCACGCAGCAGATAAATCCAGGGTTGTTAACTGGTGCTGCAATGGGAGTCACAGTGAGTATATCTGGAGACCTAGTGTAACCAAGATCAATTCCAAACCACAAGCACACATGTATCGTACTTTCTCATACCGATTTTTCAGTTGTGGTGTGATGAACTGCTATCACGTTACAGCATCACTGTGTATCTGTTGTTAGCTTGAACAGCTTATCCTGGTACACATTTTTATGACGATATAGAAGCTAGCAGTTGCATCTTTTATACAGCATAAAAAATACAGCCACTGACCACACAACAACTGCTCCTCTCAGCAGCTTACTTTTTTTTTTTTTTAAACAATATTTGCAACTGAAGGGCATACAATAAAGACCCAAGACATCTGGGCAATGAAGCAAGTGCTGTCATGTGTCATAAGAGTCACAGCCTGGTGCCAAAGACCTGACTGTTCTGCAGCTGCTGGTGCCCGGATCACAAATGACACGGAGTGGTACAACGCTCTGCGGGGGCAGCAGGCAGAGAGCCCTGCAGCGCTAGCTCTTTCTCACCAGATGATGGTGGCTTATCCTTTTCTTTACAGTCTTCTACGTCTGCAGAAGGAGCATTCCGGAAAGCTTTTTTGCTTTTCTAAACATCCTGTGAAGCTTGTGCCACAGTCATGAAAACAGGGTAACAGCGCAAGACTAAAAGGTTCCCCACGCTTTCAGGACTTTCCCTTCCAGAACAGTGTTGAGGCAAAGAGGGAAGACAATTCAGTGCTGCTAGGGTCACGTTCTTCATTTTCTGTCAGCACTCATTACCATCCTTTTTACGAAGCACGCAGTTTAAAGTGCCAAGCTAGGAAATCTGGAGCGTTCACCCGGCGCAATGCAACAGGCTGGACAACAGATCAGCGCGGCACCACACCGCTGCAGCCGCATCGCTTCCACTTCTGCACCGAGCGCGGCCCACAGCAAGCTCTCCTCAGCTGCACGCTGCGCGGCTTTGCACAGAACGTGGCATCATTCCCAAAAAGGATCTCCAGAACCAATCAATGGGAAGTAAAAGCAGCAAGAAAAGGTACTGGACTTCAGGAATATCATACATTCAAAACAGACATGCAGTGCAACGGTTTTTGCACTGCACTCCTGTCTCCACTGGAAGACCTTCCCTGAAGATATTTTCCACTGCTTGCCATCGCTGAGAGAGATCCAGCTTTGATTTAAAGCTGTTCTGCAGCTTAAGCAGAAACCTACCGGCTTGATGCAAAACACTGCAGAAAAGTTTTCTAGTATTTTTGCCTGAATTACAAATGTCCAGATAGCACAGAAACACTCCCTTCTTGCCTTAGGTATTGTGTCTTTTTAGTAACCTGTGGATCAAATGAAGCATTAGAGGCAAACAACACCTAACAATAGCAGACTGAGAGCATTACTCCCCCACACTTTTTTTTTTTTTTTTTAAAAGGATCATCTTTTCTCAGCTCACATGCTAAACTAAATCAACAACAGTAACACTCTGATGGAAGGGCTGCAAAAATTGGTGCCGGCTGTTCAGGATACAACGCTTGCACTGCCAAAAACACTAGTGATGTTTTGTATATATTCCACTAGTATGGAAGGTGCTAGTATTCCTCCTTACCAGAAGGGAACACACATTTTAGCCACGGTCTTCCTGGCTTCATTATGTCAACTGTAATCATCCTTCCTCAGTTCCTCACTGAAACTGAACGGCTTTCTCTATTTGCTCCTTCAGCCATAAAACTTCAGTATCTTAACACCATTTCCTCCTAGAAAAGGTTGCCATAGAGATTTGTTTGTGTACTTAAAATGTTCTGGGAACCTTCAGAGTCAGCACCAATGTTAGCAAGGTTTTTAAAATTATTTATTTGCTAGTAGCATCTAGAAACTTTGTAAATAATGAGAACCTAAAACCGACTATGAAATGGGGAAAAAAAAAAATCTCAAATGGAAAGTTTTTCCTTTTGGGGGGACTATACCAGGACTCCATAACAAAATGTTTTGTTTTGTTTTTTAATTCATGGGAACACATGCACATGAATTAAAAAAAAATATGCAGAAAGCCAGGAACAGAGATCAAGCTTCAAAGAAAAATATGAATTTCATACATGTTTCTCCAGTTTAGCGCTCACACAGACACACACACATGCACACAGAGGAGAGAAAGCGATAAGCAACTCCGCTTCAGTAAAGCCAGAAAGAAATGACACCTTTTTAATCAACCAGAGTGATGACTTTCAAAGGAGTGGTTTCCAGTAACACCACTCCAGCGTTTCACCACTGCAAGTCCTAACACTGTATGTAGCACCTCAAACTTCTCACCAAGTAGTAGTGCAGCTAGAGCTAGACCAAAATCCTTTAGGAGGTGCCTTGTATGCGACATCACCTCCAGGAACCATTTCAAATGAAGAAGTTAAACCTGCCTGGCCCAGATCTGACTCCATCAAGATGAGACCATGTAGTGCCCAGCCCAACGGGGCAGATCAGATCTTGCACACTCAGCAGTTCCAAGGGACCCTTTCTTTTCCTCCTCCGGCATCTTAGCCCCAGTCTCCAGCTCCCAAGCATTTCAAGACCCCAAGCAACTACAAATCACGGCATCTAGTTGCCTGACTAACACGGCCTTCCACAAAGTTGAAAACAACATGCCAACACTTCTCTCAGGAAGAGTTTAACTTTCCTAGTAGTGGTGAACACAAAAGAGAACAGGGAAGACAGCCCAGACTCGCGGTACTTTTCAGCTGGGGTGTTGGTGAAGCCTTCTTCAACTTAATGTTACAACCTGTCTTTAATTAGACTTGTTCCAATTCAGTTCAAAATAGTTCTCTTACAGACAATGGGAAGAATACAAGAACTGACATCTCCCAAGTCAACCCACTGGGTTTTGTTTGTTTGTTTTAAAAACATTGAAGGAAGGTGAACAACTCCATCAAATTCAGCATGCTTCCATTTACCAGCATCGCATCCTAGGCAGACCACATCTTAATTCTTTTAGTAGCTTTATATACGTAGGCAGATTAAATTTAGCTTAATTACAACATTTACGGTACATTAACCTTCTTCACAAGATGGATGATTTCTAGCTCATGTCCTTACTCTAGGAGTCAAACAACAAACATACATACACACATGCTTTGTTCCTACAAACCTGCCACTCTAACTTCAGAACAGCACGTTAATTTCTATTGTCTATACAGGAACATAAAGAAATGCCTTCTTTTTTTTTTCCTCCCCACTGCAGTCAGCATATACCGTAACCAGCTCCCTGACCATCTTGGTGGCCCTGCGCTGGGCTTGTTCTAGGGTATCAATCTCTTTCTTGCACAAGGGAGCCCCAGACTGGGCACAGCACTCCAGGTACAATCTCACAAGTGCCAAACGGAAGGGAAGGATCACTCCCCTGGACCTGCTGACTACATGTTTACTCATCAAGCCCAGAATGTGGCTACCCTTCCCTGCTGCCACAGCTCTCTTGCTGCAAGGACTGCTGCTGGTGTTTCCCATTCAACCGCTTGTCCATCACGACCGAAATGCCTTCTTCGTAGCCTGCCAGCCCGCTATCCAGCCCATACCTCACCAAATGATGATGATGATGCAACCGGGGCCAAGGCCTGGCCATAACCGAGGTATGCCACAGCCCTTTGCCCACAGTGCCAGCCATTTCACCACAGAAAGCAGGGAGGTTGACAGGCATGACTTGCCCTTGGCAAATCCATGCTAGCTGCTCCAAATCACCGTCTTCTCCTTTGTGTGTTGAGAAAGGGCTCCCAAGAGGATTTGCTTCACAACCTCCACAGGGACGGAGATTATGCTGACTTGCCTGAAGTTACCTGCATCTTCTTCCTTGCCCTTCCTGAGGACGGGGTGTGTGATGTTTGCCTTTTTCCAGTCACTTGAAACCTCCCCCAGCTGCCATGGCCTCTTGAAGATGCTGGGGAACAGCTCTGCAGTAACATCGCCCAGCCCCTTCAGCACACTTGGACACATCCTTCCGGGTCCCATGGACTCATCTATGTTTAATTGGCCCAAGTGATTTTTAACTCTACCTTCCTTTACTGTGGGGTACTGCTTCATGCCCACAGAGTCTGCTAGCAAGCTCGGGGAACTGGGAACCCTGACGGCAAGCCCTACCAGTTGAAAAAGGAGGCAAAAGAGGCATTAAGTCTCTTTTGCCTTTTCCATGACCCTTGTCACTGGGTTCCCTGCCACACCGAGCAGTCAGTCTACACTTTTGCTAAACTTCTCAAGTTGTCCTTCACCTCTCTTGCTAGTCTCAACTCCAGCTGAACTTTGGCTTTCCCCACCCTGTTCCTTCACACATGGGCTCTATTCCTCCTGTAGAGCCGCTCCCTGCTTCCACCTCCTGTGTATTTAGTGTTTGCGCTCAGGCAGAAGCTCCACGTTCACTCATGCTGGCTTGCTGCCACGCTTGCTCAACTTCCTGCCCATGGGAATGGACCGTCCTTGTGCTCTGAGCAAGCTGCCTTAAAGATCAACCAGCTCTGCTGGGCCCTCTGCCCTCCAGGGCAGCTTCCTGTGGGAAACCCAACAGGCCAAATCTGCCCTTCTGCAGCCCAGGGTTGTCATCCTCTTCTTCAGCTTGCTCACTCCTCTCAGGATCTTCAACTTTGCAGTCATCCAGTTGCTGCAGCCAAGGCTGCCTCATCCTTTACATCTTCATCGCCTTCTGCTTCAATCCATGGAAAATGAGAGACAAAGTCTACATTGATGTTTAGCACTCTAGAAAATACTTGCTTGTTAATCAGTAAAATGAGGTAATTTTGTAATTACCTCACACAGATTTCCCATACCTGCTTTTATAAACAAAAACCAGGCAATTTTAAATGATGGTGCAATATGATGAAATTAGGCTACTTGCCCCCCTCCCCTCCAAAAAAAGGGCAAAAAACCTAAAAACCCACAAGATCTCATACCAGAGCCCTACTTCTACTCTAAACCAGTAGAGGTCCTGGTAGTCCACAAGCAGCATATGCCATAAAGCGCAGCAAATGCCAAGGGAACTGCTCTATATTATTGTGTATGATATCATGCAGCATTCCGTATCAGCTGGGAAATGAATCACTGACTGTTGTATCTCTAGGTTTTCATGTGATATCTACTCACATGAAAAGGTGTTTCAAAAATCATCAGCATGCATCATTAGGGGTCCAGAACTTACCCATCTTACATGCACAAAACAAGCCTGCGTAGCAGCAAGTGAATCTAAACCCATCTTTCTTCTCATAGGTGATCACTGTTTTAGAATTTATGCCTCTGGGCAGAAGGGGGAAAAGAGTTGCTTTGGTAAATTTTTTTTTTTTTTTTTTACATAAAAAAACCTTTCAAGGATAAAGTGCAGAAGGCAACATTACATTTAGCTTCTTGGACATGAAAGGATATTTGATCTTAATGAAAACAAAGTCTAGATGATGTGGTAAAGAACACTTTCTGCTGGAACTTACCTACACTTCTATCCATAACTGCACTACTTCACAGTTTGCCTGGAAGGGAGAGATTTATTAGCACAGATTATGCTCCGCATACCATTCTATATCCACTTAAAACTTATTTCCTGATGCAGACATCTTAAAGTACACAAGTTAACTGTTATGCCCACCTCATGCATAAAGTAGGATTACACAAATCAGATTCTATGGCACTATTGAAAGAATCTTTCCAGTAGCAAAGGGAAACACAACTTACAACTACTATTGCTTCATTTATATATAAAGGCCACTTCATACCTATTCACACATTTTAAAAAAAATAAGGGAGGCTCCAGTAAAATCTCTGTTAAATACAAATTACTTCAGAGAAACCTCCTGGAGACATATCTCTTTTGTACGAGTGCAGGTGTCGAAGTACTACTCTTTTCAAACATATTAAGCAAGCAAGAAGTATCCCAATTGTTCAATCCAAAGAAAAGACAACAATTACATTATAGTTGACAAATGGGGAAAGCACGTACTCATTCTTGCCAAGAGTTATCTTGCCAGCTGCTGAGAGCAAACATTATCTATTTTAATTCTCCCCCAGTCTTGCAGCAAGGGTATTAAGACCCAGCTGCTCTTAATTAACCCAGCTGGTCTTCCAGGTGAAAGCGCTCCTGTAGAGAGCCGGCTGATCCAGGCTGTGGGAACCAGGCGAAACAGCCGACGGTGCAAGATGTACTAGGGACAGGGTATGGGTGGGACTGCTCAAGAGTCAGGTCACAATAAAGTGTGTTTTGAAGATTCTCCATGGGAACAAAACCTTCCTTTCTCAAAAAGATGGAGGAGAGTTTTCTGGCCTTTAGAACACGTGGCTTCCTCAGCAACAAAAAAACATGTCAAAGCAACATAAGAAACTATTAATGGAATTTTAGAGGATAATTATGCTTTCATTTGATCTTTTACCAAAAACATTTTAGAGGGAAGGGAGTAAGGTATACTTACAAAGCTTCTGTAGATTAACCAGTCTTCAATAACAATCCAATATAGAACCACAAAAATTTGTTTAAAATTTAACACATAGTAACATCGAAACAAACAAATGTTTCCATGGGGACAACTACCTAAATAAATGCTCACAATGGATCCAAGGCGTGACATCACCCAGGCCTGCCTGCAACCATAGCAACATGCCAGGGTAAACAGAAATATTTTTATTTTTCTATCTAATAGTGTCATAGAATTAGCAGTTTTATGGCAGTGCTTAGACCACATTCTTGCAGTGCTGAGTGGTAACACGTCTAAAATAAGAGCAGAGGTATTTATATCAGGGCTAGTACTATTACCATATTAACTGCATAAAACAAGTGGAGTATGTGTAGGGCATAGCTAACATATCAGATTTCCCAGAGCAGTTGTTGACCCCAGTAAACAAAGAAATTTAAGTTCCTAAGGCAACATGCCAGAAAGCTGGTCAGAGATCAGTAACATCTATTCTTCTGGGGTATTCTGCTCTCCTCAATATATATAAAAAAAAAAAAAGTCCTTAAGACTGTTGTGTCTCACTGTCTAGCTGGATTAAGAAGAAGAATGCAGCCACATGTTGCTTTTCATACCAAATGCAGAACACTCCTGTGCCCTTCTCCTGTGTCACCAATGAACTTGCTTTCTCCAAGGCAACAAGATTCACTCAACCCATATTTGCACTCTGCAAACACAATACAAGACACAGCCTGCAAACTTTTGCAACTCTGGAACGGTAACATAAAAGCAGCAGTCAGTCAACAAGGAAAAGTTACAAAAAGGAAGGCAATTGTTTCAGCTACTAAAAAGATACCCATGGAATTCCCATTTCCATGAGAACCATCCTTTTTCAAATGCTGCTGCACATCTCAAAGTCGCGTGTCTCTCCATTCAGTAGACCCAGATTGCATTGTCACTCAACTTGAGAAACATAACAGAAAGGTTCAGAGTGTATGTGAAGAATGAATGCTGGGAATGATTCAATATTATTAAGATTTTAGCAGAAGCTTGAGCTACAGCAAAATTTAAGTTATTTTCATTACAAAAATGGCAAAATACTATTTTTGGTCCTGTTATGAAAATTCCACATACAGTAATTTATGAAAACTTTCTTTCTCATAGAATATCATTGTGACTTATCCTTGTCTTCAAGAATGGCCATGAATTTAGGGACCAGTTAAAAAAATTACTCCCTATAAAATATTTTCAAGCTTCTTTTTTTTTTTTTTTTTTAAACAATGATACGAGGAGGCTTTTCAGAGAAGGGGTTGCTTTATTTTTGCCATTTAAAAGAGACAAAGCTATCCTGATACCAATCAGCAAAAGACATTTTTATGTAACTTAAAGCAAGGAGCTACCTTGGAAACGAAAATTCACCCTGCAACCACACTGTTGTACACAGCCCAATGAACATATGAAGGAAACAGACCAACATCCCAAGTTTTACTGTGAAAGTATAAAATACAGTAAGGAAAGCTGACTACATAATTACATTTACAGTTATGGACATTTTTGTTGATTCTGCTGCATTTTTAACAGATTTCATCCCATAAGATACTGTAAAACTTTTGTCATTAACTCTTCACAATTTCTTGTGCTTTTCCAGGTGCAACATGCATACAAAGACAATGAGATCATATGAGATGTCCTTACTGTATGTTTTTATAACCTAAAAAAAAAATAATTACTTTTCTACTTAACATAGAAACAGCAGTCTATCCCAACTGTATTCATGCAATCCAAATTTTTGGCATAAATATAGGTGGCTTCCCTCTGATCTCCAGGGATGCAACTTATAAATATCCATACACACAGCAACTCTCACAAGTGGGCTTTGGTTTTCATTTCAAGTAATTCAAATGCAAAATCCATTGCTGCTTAATTTGCTGTCTTTTCTGAGCTGATGATAGAAAGTTTTTAAAACAGAAAAGAAAAAAAAAAGCAGAAAAAGGCATCTATTAAATCAATTTTTAACACACAACAATTCATATTACAATCCACCAAAGTGGAAGCATTTGTGAGACCCTTCAGGGGAGGTCACCCAATTGACATATTTTCTTTCCCAACAATGCAATTCTAGCAATTCTTCTTTCATGCCTACTACTGTGCATTCTTTGCATTAGACTGTTTCTTCTTTGTACCCTAAAGTACATACAAATATTGTGCTTACATGAAGGCAGTCAGTGGACCTTTTATGCAAGATAAATAGACAAATCATGCTTCGGTCTGACCTGACATCCTCATGCAGAAGGAAAACAGCATTCTACACTTATTTTCTTATTTGTAACAAAGGTTCATCAGATTTTCCTCAATCTTTATAACAACATAAACTTAACCTTAGATGAACTAATCCCTGAAAGACAGACACAGAGTCCCAGCTTTGAGGTAATAACACGGACTATTCAAAACTTTCAGAAGTTTTGTTCACCTGGTTTGGCAGAGGTGAGGAGGGGGATATTGAGTCTACAAAAATGCTCATTACTTCTCAGAACTGAACTGATAAAATTTCTCCTCCTACAGAGAAGGTTACCAATCAGTGAATAAAACACTACTTTCAGTAGCTCTTAGATAAATGTGTCTGTTACTAATGTCCCCGTTACTTTACCCTGTCTGTCAGCAACACGTAGCTCCTATTTTGCCAGTATCTGTAGCAGAACAATAAATGAAGCCTGGGAAAGTTAGCAAGATGACAAGCGGAGGCTATATACATAGACATAGTAACTCATAAATCCAAAGAACAATTCTACTAGATTAATTATTTTCTAGTGTTTGAACAAGACATGCCATTGTCATAAACTACAAGTACAGGTGCTAGAAAACAAACCCTGCTCAACACAGGGGCTTCCCAGTAACAAACCCAACAGAAAACCTGTTTGGAAGTTCTACCAAAATGCTAGGTGGCAATTGGAGTTGGGTGTGACAAACACCTCTTCTTATCTTTGGGTGTCTTCCCTGGCTGGACTACAACTGCCAAGATCCCCCAGCCCAACCTCACTGAACCACTGCGGCTCACCGCAAGAATCCCAGGCCAAAGTCCATTTTGTGAGACGCAGTCTAGCTGAAGACCCTAAAAATAACAGTGAAGTACAGAGCCTTCTGCTACCCATAAGCACAACTCCTATCAAGGCATGGAGGCAGTACTCTGCCCTTTCTGGGGAGCTGGAGATTCTTTCATACTGTTTAACGTTTTTCATTTAACCCAGATGGCAAAAAA